TCCCAGCACACCCAGCGATGAATTCTCCACTCCAGTGCCATTGGTCACGATGCTAGCAGCTGCGATGGCGTCTGAAATCTGTTTCTGGTTGTCAGACATTTGCTGACGTGTGCGGATAAAAAGGCCCAGGTCAGAACCGTTGCGAGTCAGGAGATCTGTGAAGAGATCAGCTTTGTAAAACCATCCTACTTCTTATCGGTTAAAAAAATAATAATTCTTATTATTCACACATGCCCACCAAGATCTGGCTGCAATCCTGTGAGTTTGTCATCAATCCTCAGTGTGGTGTAGAGTGGGACAGAGTCAGGACCCGAGCGACTACAAGGCACGGCATAAGTGTCGAACAGTTCCTTCAGATCCTTACGACTGCGAATGCTGGGCACACAATGGGAAATTTTCAAGTGTCATCCAAATTCAAAACAAGTATTTTTTGGAAGGAAAGGAGTGTTCTACCTAAAAGACTTGAAGAGCTCCACAAATTCAACAAAGCTCATGATGCTGTCGGAGATCATAAGATCCTGAAAGCCCCTGAAGCAGCCTTTCCCTCGACCATGCCAGCTCCGACTGCTCCAGGCCCTAAAAACACCAACATAGGCATCTCTAAAGCAAAATGGCTTTTCACAAAACTAATACAATTTATTTTTCACTATGCAAGAAACTATTGAGATTTGTTCTTGCACCTCACACGTTTGAGCTTAAACATTAACCATATTTGATGTGCATTGAATAAACACCTGAATTAAAATCTGTTCATCCTATACAGTGATTGTATCTTTTCAGAAGACTTGGATTAAACAGCATGATTCACATGGATTACTTTTATAATACCTTTATGTGCATGAAAATGCTGATTGCACAGACTTTCATTGGATGGAATGATGAGATATATTTAATTCGTGACAAAAATAAACAAAAAGCTTTATGGGTTTGGAACAACTTGATAATCATGAAATATCCTATTTCATGCACCTGGAACCATCTTTCATGGAATAAAATAAGTTTTAAAAAATTCTTACTAAAAATTAGTTAGATTATGGAAGTAAATTACATTGTAAACAAGGTTTAATGTTAATTTATTTGCATATTTTATGTTGCATCCTTCTTGAATACAAAAATCTGAAAATATCTTTAAAAGAACAGGATCAAAACATGCTAAACCCATCAAACACACTGAATAGAAGCCTGTGTGCTTTCTGGGAATGCACTAAATTTGTATTTCTAAAGAGGGAGTGGCCTTACCCTGGTTGACTTTTGGGGTTGCCGGGGAGATTGGGGGAGGAATGAGGGCGGGTAGGGGTGGAGGTGTTTGTGCTAAAGGAGCCAGAGGAAGATGAGGAGGAGGATGATAAGGAGGATCCAGGAGACTGGCCTTTGCTGTTGGATAAGGAAAGGGATCCAGGGTGGCCAAAGGTACTGCAGTCCTCTATGGAAACATTCAAACATG